AAAAAGACCCATTGCAACTTATGCTCTCCTAATACAAATGTTCGAATTTATGAAAATTTTCGATTTTGAGCCAAATACAAGGGTTGGTCTGAAAGTAATGGAAAAATCAAAAATTTGAAAAAAGACCCATTGCAACTTATGCTCTCCTAATACAAATGTTCGAATTTATGAAAATTTTCGATTTTGAGTCAAATACAAGGGTTGGTCTGAAAGTAATGGAAAAATCAAAATTTTTTTCCATAACTTTTCGACCGGCCGTCGTATATGACGCAAAACTGGAAATTTCGTTAAATCTGAAAATTTGTATTAGGAGAGCATAAGTCGCAATGGGTCTTTTTCCAAATTTTTGATTTTTCCATTACTTTCTGACCAACCCTCGTATTTGGTTCAAAATCGAAAATTTTCATAAATTCCAACATTTGTATTAGGAGAGCATAAGTCGCAAAAGGTCTTTTTAAAAGTATCAATTTTTAGCGCGGGATTAACTATATCGCAGTCTTGTTTTCCGTTTTTCTACATCGTTCGGCCTTGAAACGTTTAATTGTACTTTTACTATCATAATTTATGTTCATTTCCAGTATTATAACTATAAAGTTGCATTGGATCTTTTTCCAAGTTCAGAATTAAAGCGCGGAATTAACTTCACCTTTCTTACAAATAGTTCAGCTCCTGAGCATATGACTTGTAATTTTCGAAAATTGACAATTTCTTTTTTTTACAGTATTTGTACTATTGTATTCTTTACTGTTCAAAGCTGAGGACAAAACTAAAAACACATACTTTATTTATGAAAATACATTTATTATTTAGAAATATAATTTACATTTATTATAACAAAGTACAAATTTATTTCAAATAACAACAATACATCAATATAAACAATGTATCTAAGATATAATACATTCTAACGACTTATAAAAGTTAAAANTAGTCCAGGAAAGATGAAACCCATTGCTTGTTTCAGTATGACCAAGTTGACTTCAAGTCTCTCTCTTTTCTTGGATAATCTGCAGAAATGAACAAAAAACCTTATTAATTAAGGAAGGGATTAAGAACACCTAAAAACAGACCAGAAAGCAAGTAAAACAGTCGAATTATGAAAGGATGACAAGCCTCAATATTACACGACAGATCGTATTTGACATATGTGAAATAATCATAGATGCATAACGTCAATTCATGATACGAACAATAGATAACTGTTAAATGAAATACTATAGATGCTAAGCACAATAGATAAATGTTAAAGTGAGTACCATAGATGCACAACGTCAATTCCTACTGTGAACAATAGATAACTGTTAATATACTGTAACAGATTAATAGAATAGCACGTCATGCTTTATCACCTTAAGTGAAGAAGTTGCGTTCAAATGTGAAATGCGCAAGCCAAATCTAGGAGAGTACCACTGCAGACAATCTGTTTGGGTGGTTTCCAAATTAATTTCCAGTTCTCTCCCTTACGTCAAAAGCATCAGTTGCTTCATTAGCATCGAAAATTAACTGAATTCCTTTTCATGGACAATCTACAAAAACGAACAAGAAAAAGTAATCAATTACCACTTTTAATGAAAACTCCTTTTCCCACATTTACTCTCATATTAAAATGTACTTATAGTTTACATTCACAGCTAGAAGTACGGTGGTAACAGATTAATAAAGAGCAATTAAAATTAATTATATAAAGTATTCTCACCTTAATTAAGTGTAGACTGTAATATTCCAAAATTTGCATGTCTGAAAAGCAAACCAAATCCAGGAGGAATACCATAGCAGAAAATTTGTTGTTTCAAAAGAACTCAAAGAAACCTCCAGTTGCTCTCACTCGTCGGTTGAAAATTGATTGCATAATGGTTCAAGGTGAAGACAAAGCAGCAAAACAAGAATATAGTCCAGGAAAGATGAAACCCATCTAGACATTGCTTGTTTCAGTATGACCAAGCTGACTTTAAGTCTCTCTCTTTTCTTGGATAATCTGCAGAAATGGACAAAAAACTTTATTAATTACACTATTAATTAAGAAAAGGATTAAGAACACCAAAAACAGACCAAAAAGTAAGTAAAACAGTCGAATTATAAAAGGATGACAAGCCTCAATTTTACACGACAGATTGTACTTGACATATGTGAAATAATCATAGATGCATAACGTCAATTCATGATGCGAACAATAGATAACTGTTAAATGAAATACTATAGATACTACGCACAATAGATAAATGTTAAAGTGAATACCATAGATGCACGTCAATTTATACTGTGAACAATAGCAAACTGTTAATACCGTAACAGATTAATTGAATAGCACGTCATGCTTCATCACCTTAAGTGAAGTAGCGATCGAATGTGGAATGCGCAAGCCAAATCTAGGAGAGTACCACTGAAGACAATCTGTTGCTTGCGTGGTTTCCAAATTAATTTCTAGTTCTCTTCCTTACATCAAAAGCATCAGTTGCTTCATTAGCATCGCAAATTAACTGAATTCCTTTTCATGGACAATCTACAAAAACCAACAAGAAAAAGTAATCAATTACCACTTTTAATGAAAACTCCTTTTTTCACATTTACTCTCGAATAAAAATGTACTTATACTTTACACTCACAGCTAGAAGTTGTTTTTTTAGTAGCATCGAAATGGATTTCAGTTTCCTTTGTCATCTATATATAATACATAGAAACAAAGAAAACCGAATTAATTACAGTACTAAATAAACAAAATTATCTTCAACTTTACAGAATGTTCAACACTTGTTCATTTTCAAATATTTTCAGTTAGCTCACCTCCCCACAACAAAGTCGTTTAAGACTTAGAAAGCGAATCCACTGTGACACTACCAGTAGGTTGAACTGCTGAAGGAAAAATTCGTTTGGCAAAGGCTGGAAAAAAATTATTCCCAATTGTACCTGAAAAAGAAAAAAAAAACATGTGAAAGCCAAAAATAATAATTTTGTAGAAACTGAATTATTTTATAAAATCAATTTATTTATAATGAACGAACTGATTGCTATTATTTTTCACAAAATCGATCGATTTACATAAACCACATTCTAGGCCTGTTCTAGATTATCAAATATGGCCGAGTGAACTCCGTACGTATTTAGAAACTTAATTAATGCGAATCGTAAAAATAATCCCATACCCGATAATTAAAATACATACCACAGATAAAGCTGTAATTCCAGGGCGTATAGTGATATACATTTTGTATGTATTATTACATTTTTAGACTTTTTATCAAAAATGCACATAAAATGTCGAACTGTTAAAGCTGCAAAGTGAAAGTGCAGAAATGAAGAGTGAACAAGAAGGAAGTACGTCATCGACGTCATTATAAATTTATTAATCTCTCGATAGTAGTAAGCATACACATATAATAATGGACGTGCCTTAGCCGTATGTCGTTGTAATAATTTCTTGGCTGGAAAAGAGTGACGGAGATGGCATATGGTTCGGACTAGTGCTATCTCTTTCATTACACGCTTACGCACTATCGTGAGAGAAATGGATATTGTCCGAAACTTCGTTCTATCTTTTTCTTTTGTTGTGCCACAATTCTGGCCGCTAAGGCATGTCCATTAGTATATGCCGATGGTAAAGGTAGCCTCACTGTGAAATAGGCACAGACATGATAAAAAGAAAAACAATAGATAATAAATTACCATAGAGTAGAATAAACATCAGGTATGTTCAAAAATTGTACTCCTATAATAAATTGATTGTTAGCATTTTCATTCATTTAGAAAAAAATTGCAAAACTTCGCAAAGTTTTGTATTAAGCTAAGCGTCTTGGGTTATGCGAACTTGAATGCTTAATATGGTTTTAAATTTTACGTTATGTAGGATACAATTAATATCTAGTGTGGACTGACATATGAGTCACAAGTTTTAGTTTAGCCGAGCTCATCCATGACTACGATCCTGATTTTCGCGCAAAAATTTAACAAAAAAACCTGTTTTGTTATTTTACACATATTCCATTTCTTCT